GAAATACAACCTAGATGGAACTACTATCAGGTGGGTGCATAACTGGTTGGAAAACCATTCCCAGAGAGTAGTTATCAGTGGTTCACAGTCAAGATGGAAGGACATATTGAGTGGGGTCCCACAAGGATTCATTCTGGGTCCAGTTCTGTTCAATATTTTCATCAATCATTTCGAGAATGGCACAGAGAGTACACTTATAAAGTTTGCAGGTGATACCAGCTGGGGGGGATTGCAGGTGCTTTGGAGGATAGGATTAAAATTCGTAATGATCTGGACAAACTGGAGAAATAGTCTGACGGAAATAGGATGAAATTCAATAAGGACAAATGCAAAGTACTCCACTTAGGAAGGAACAATCAGTTGCACACATGCAAAATGGGAAATGACTACCTAGGATGCATCCGATGAAGTGAGCTGTACCTCACGAAAGCTTATGCTCAAATAAATTTGTTAGTCTCTAAGGTGCCACAAGTACTCCTTTTCTTTTTGCGAATACAGACTAACACAGCTGCTACTCTGATACCTAGGAAGGAGTACTGCACAAAGCGATCGGGCGATCATAGTGGGCCACAAGCTAAATATGAGTCAACAGTGTAGCAACTGTTGCAAAAAAACCAAACATCAATCTGGGATGTATTAGCAGCAGTCTTGTAAGCAAAACACGGGAAATATTTTTTCCGCTCTACTTCACGCTGATTAGGCCTCAACTGGAGTAATGTGTCCAATTCTGGGTGTCACATTTCAGGAAAGATATGGACAAACTGGAGAAAGTCCAGAGAAGAGCAACAAAAATGATTAAAGATCTAGAAATCATGACCTATGAGGGAATATTAAAAAAATTGGGTTTGTTTAGTCTGGAAAAGAGAAGACTGGGGGGGGGGGGAGGAGAGGGGACGGACATGATGACAGTTTTCAAGTACGTAAAGAGTTGTTACAAGGAGGAGGGAGAAAAATTGTTTTCCTTAACCTCTGAGGAAAGGACAAGAAGCAATGGGCTTAAATTGCAGCAAGGGCAGTTTAGGTTGGACATAAGGAAAAACTTCCTGTCAGGGTGGTTAAGCCCTGGAATAAATTGCCTAGGGGAGTTACGGAGATTTGGAAGAGTAGGTTGGACAAACACCTGTCAGGGATGACCTAGATAATACTTAATCTTGCCATGAGTGCAGGGGACTGGACTAGATGTCCTCTCAAGGTCCCCTCCAGTCCTAATGACCTTCAGTTTATTGTCTGAGGCCATCCAACATTATGTCCACATCATAGGCGATGCGTGGGGGGGGCATGCGGGCTTGAGTGCTTCCCCCCCCACACCCCGGTTTCTACTTAGCCTGCCGGGGGGGGGGAAGAAGAGGCAGGGGGGTTCTGTCCTTCTCCCACTGCACCTGCCCCCCGCCCCCTACATGCTCGGCCCCTGTCCCTGGCAGCTGAGCCCGGGCAGGGAGCAGAGGAGGCGGGACCAGCCACTTCTCACACGGGACGCTCAGGGTGACTGCTTTGTGCAGCACAGCAGCTGCCTGCGAGGGAACCTGGCTGGGGCAGCGGCAGGAGCAGCAGGCCACCCTCCACCCAGGCCCGGCTGCCAGGGACAGGGGAAGAGTGAGCCGGAATCCCCTCTCCCGCCTGGCACATTTCCGGCTTGCTGGGCTCCTGTCCCCAGCATCCGGCCCTGGGCATGGGGGTGGCCTGCCACCACCTCCAGAGCCAGGCTTTCAGGCAACTGCTACGTTACACAGAGCAGTGACCAGGAGCGGCCAGCTTCAGCCACATGAGAAACAGCTGCGTCCTGCTCCCCTCAAGGACCCAGCTGCCAGGGAGAGCAGATGAACATCCTGGTGAGGAGGCACAGTGGGAGAAGGACAGAGCCCCCTGCACCTCCCCGCTCAGGTAACACTGGCGGGGCTGGTTGAGCGTGGCAGCCCCAGGCTTGGTGTAGGGTGGTGGGCACCGCTGGGCAAAGGAGACTTGGGGCACTCATGTATCCTTCCCTTTAGATTGTGCCCCCCCCCCCATATGGAGAGGCATGAGTCATTTAGGTCCACTGTAACTCATTCTTAGCTAAATTGGGCCAAACCAGTATCGGACCCAACGTGGCCAAAGGAATCCACAGCCATTTTTGATCTCTCATAACTGTGCATAAAATGATAGGACCAAATTATAAACATGTGTAGGTTGAGTTAAGCTGGTTAGATATGGCTCTAATAAATTCAAATGGGTTTGACACCATTCCAAGATATTAGGCACAGGAGGAGTTTGTTTTATTTTTGGTTGATATCAACAGTTTAGTGGTGGCTGCAAGACAGGCAATTCTGGAGAATGGCAATGCTCTCTAGTGATTCGAGCAGGGGACTGGAAACCAGTACTCTTGGGCTCTTCTCCTAGTTCAACCACGAGCTTTCACAAACCGGACTCCTGTTCTATCTCCACTCTGTCCACCTTTCACAGTCATCCCTCCATCCTTTCAGACTCTCCCCTTCAAGCCTCATGTTCATCCCCAGCTTTCCCCTTTTCCTTCTATAGCTGCTTGGTCTGTTTCATACTGCAGTTTCTGTCTCTCTGTGAAATATGGATGGCCCTCTGCTGCCGTCCAGGGTCAGAGGGACCACCATTCTTTGTACCCTCTCTCTCAGCAGTGATCTCACACATTCACCCAGTCTCTACTATCAATGATTCTCCAGCCTTTGTCTGCACTTCTGACCTGTCTCTGACATCCCCTCCTGGTTGCACTGCCATCAGCTTCAATTTTGCCTGGCCAAAACAGAGCACCTTCCCTCTCAACTCCTTCTTTCTCAGCCACTGACAACCTCATCTCCCTCCATGTCACTCAGGCCTACAATCCGAGATTCTGTCTTTGACTCCCCCACTCTCCCTCAGGTTGAGAGGCAGAAGAACAGTTGTGAGTGTGTACACTAGTTGTATGTATGAATTTTTTTCTCTTCTTGTACTCTTTGTATTTTGCTTGCATGCACTTCGGGGTGAGCACTGGGTCTTTGTGTGTGTTTGGATGGCATCTTACCACAAAGGGTACATCTACACTGCAATCCTAAATGTGACTGCACCATAGGTAGACATACCCATGTTAGCAATATGGCAGCGAATAAATATGTCAGTGAAGAGACAGTGGCATGGGCTTCAGTGAGGGCTAGAAATGTGAGTATGTAATCACTGTCCCCAGTGTGTTTGTACGGACGGTGCTGCTGCATATACGCTAATAAATGTAACCATGCTAGCGTGGGTAAAGCTACTTGTGGGTATGTCTACTTGTGCTGTAATCTGACCTCGAACTGCAGTGTAGCCATACCTAAAAGGGGACCCAGTCTGGACTGGGGCCCCTGGGAGCTACTGCCATGTAAATATTAAATAATAATCGACACATTCAATTATAGCTCTTCAGCCTGAAACAAATCTTTCAATGTTTCCTGAAGAGGTTGTGTGCTAGTACTAGAAATAATCAAGGGATTTAATCAATTTTTAAAAGTGACAAGAATCAACCATTTGCCATATTTTAGCATCATCAGTTTATATAAGAATTATTGGCTATGCTAAGGTTGATTTACTTCAGAGACCAAAGGAAGATGGCAATGCTGTGACATTGCAAAAGGAAACAATAGGGTGTGACTGCCAAGTGTCACTTAAGAAAACTGTACAGGTAAGAGGAACTCTAATTCATGTGTAGTTACAAGGAGAGACAACTGCAGAGCAGCAGTAAGAGGGGTCAGAAGGAAGAACGTAAAGGGTTGTGATTGACAGTTGATTGCAGTATCATTAAGAGTGTGAATGACTGAGGTCACAGCAATGGCATGAAAGATGAGAGCACTAAAGCTGCCTGCAAAACTATGCAGAATGTTCTGTACATGGCACTAAAGGGCATAAATTGGAATTGTCAGGATGGATAATAGATGTAATAAAAGAGAAAATGACTAGGTGAGACAAATGTGCGAATATTTGACTAGCACCCTAACACACTATTTTTAGAACTAGTGAGAGAAAGTAAATGAAGAGACTTTGATGGGGGATATGACCTATTTGGATCCCGGGAGCCCATGTAGCTGCTAAGGTAGAGTCAAGACTTCCAATCCCATTTTTTTCCTGTCAGATTTAGAGATTTTTTTTCAAACCACACAGGAAGGGATTAGGTGGCTGAGTAACAGAGGCAGCTGGGTCTTCTTAACCCAGTCCCGGTGACATGCATAATGAAGAGAGGAGGAAAAGAGTGAAAAGTTTTGCAGCACAGTGAGATGGGAGTCACTTCATGAGGAGACAGCTGCTCTGCTTTTGGACCCAGAGCATGGAGGGCTTTCCATTTTGGAACCTTTTCCCACCCTGGAATGGAGAGGGAGCAGACCTTTTGTTTCTATTTCGGGAGAGTACTGCGCAGACCACCAAAGCAGGGAACTCACCTTGCAACACACCTCTGTGTAATGTATAAAACAACCTTGTTTCAAGGTCTTCCCTATTCTCCCATGCCCTTGTTTTCCACATAAAATTGTATGGGGGAAAACCTCAAGGCTTCAAAATGGTGTGTGTTACAACTCCAGACGTTCAAATGTTCAGCTTTTCTCATGAGGATACAAAGTAATATATTTCTATTGTTTCAGTATTTCTTCCAATCCTATCCTGTACCAGGAAGTGCAGAAGTGTGGAAATGAAAAACATTTAAGACTTTTGCATGTAAAACATGAACTAGAGTGCTACACAAATAGTTTTTTTGCATTTTAATAGAATTACTATTTGCAGTAGCACCCACTAAGTGTTCGGTGTTTTCCAAACACTTCAGAAGAACACAGAATCTAAGAACAAACAAGTAGACAGTGGTCAGGGGAAGAAGAATAAGAGTAGGTGATTAAATATATATATATATATATATATATATATATACAATTGTATAGATAGGTGATTATTTATAGAAAAGATGTTAAATAATACTGAGCAGAGTCAGGTGAATGTTTATCTTTATGCATATATTCATGTTTTTTAGAATTTTTTTTCTTGTGGATTTTCCTTAGATCTTTGGCTACTTTATAGTAGAAGGTGATGCCCTTGCTTCCCAACTAGATGAAGAAAACATGGTTTTCCTGGTGTCCCGAAGACAGCGAATTACAAAAGCAGGTGCCATCTTTTAATATTAATTCCAAAATCTATTCTAGTGCACACTTTTTTGAGGATACAATTATGAGGTCACGTGGCTGTTTGTTTGTTATGCACACTTCTTGTTCTACCATGTTCATAATTTACCCTCTTTTTTTAATCGTAGGCCCTCATCACTGTCCTGTTTGTACCTGAATATGTCTCAATACATTGAGCACACAGGCCTTGCCTATTCGCCCATTTTCTCAAATTCTTCCTGTTTTCTTCTTTTCTTCTTATTTTTAAATGACTAGATCACCTGACCCAAACTACTTCTTAACAAACCTCTTCTGCTCCTCCCACCCATCCCCACATTCCTCTGCAGCTTGCTGTATGGAACCAGCCCCACCCTCAAGATATTAATATTTGAAAGTTCAGTATGATTATTTAAAGCCAGTATTGAATAGTCTGCATTCTCATCCATTACATCTCTGAACTCCATCCCTTTACATATGGGAGCGAGGGAAGTGCTCTTAGCACCTTGTTCCTAGTTATGTATTTTGCCTAGTCTCCCTAGCTTTTTATAAATGTGAGATAAAGAAAAATGTTATTTCACTGGCAGGTGTCAAGAGACGAGATGTGATTAAGTGTATAGCAAAGGTGCCACAGTTGGATTTCATGATAACAGCATCTCAGAAGGGAACGTTAACCATTTTTAACAGTCAGGTAATTCTGATTCATGCTAGATTTTTCTTTATCCCATTGTTTTGTATATTATGAACTGAAGAAGTATGAAACAGAAGTGCATGCTTATATGTAAAAGCTACATGTCTTTTTAACCAGGTAAATTTTGCTACAATTTTAAGTACTGAGGGAAATAGTCACTGGATTTATTTTTAGTGAATCTTGCCTACTTTCAAGCTTGCAACAGTTGTCTGAAAGTGCAGACACTTAAAATTTCAAAAGGTGGTTCCTCAGGACCTGTCGAGCTTTTTCTAAAAACTCAGGTGGCTTTTTTGGAGTTTGTTTTTTTTATTTTTTTACTTTTACAAAAAGCACAATTAGCTGTAGAACTCATTGCTACATATGTAAGTGAGAGCAAGGAGTCAAAAAAGGGTTGGACACTTATATGGTTATTTGAGAATATCCACGTTTAATAAGTTTAAAGGCACGCTTGCAGGAACTAAATCCTTGTGCTTCAGGGCATTTACCAGCCTCTTGAAACGTTTCCTATGCATTGGCAATTCCGTAAGTGTCTGCTCTGGGTTTATGTGACAGTGCAGGGCTTCTCCCCCACCTTACAACTGTCACCCATGTGCTGCCACACAGGTTTATTTGTTTCCACATGCGAGTGAAATGAAGAGAAAGCAGTCTTTTACCTCGCTCTTTGCTCTCAGGCTTCAGGGTCACCTCTCCTCGGGGTCTCTAGTGCCCTGCTCCTGACAGCTCCCCAGCTCTCATCAGCTTGGCCCCCTTCCTGGAATAGTAGCCCCCGAGCTGTCTCCTTGAGCACCTGGCTCTTTGCTCTAGGGACTCCTCACGGGGTTAGCTTCTCTCCACCATGGCTTTTCTTCCCTAGGCACAGTCTGTCTCAATCACTGTCTGCTGCCTGGCCTCTAGCAGCCCTTTATTGGTCCAGGGGTAGCCCAGACCTTTTAACTGACTAGACTGGGCTCACCTGCTCTGACACAGGGGTATTGGGCCCAGTCTACTCACCCCCGTTACAGATTTCTTTTAACTTCTGAAGTATGTTCTATTGGCTGCCATCTGAGACAGGATATTGGACTAGCTGGGTCCTCGAGTCCTCCAAAAATTCACTCAGGCATCAGGGGGTCCTATGATCCCATATCTGCCACTGACTGGCTTTCCTTCTAAGCACTTTTTCTATTATCATCATGAAATTATGCCTCTGTTGTGTACTAAACAAGAAAAGATGTAGCTGTGTGTTTCTATCACTGAGCAACTTAACTTATACTGATGTCTAAATGCTTTTGTGGAAGTAACCTGTTGACTGCATGTTCAAAGAGTCGCTCATCGGAGGTGAACTCACAGGCAGAAACTCAGATAAATGGACTTTGTTCAGAACTCCACAAGGACCTGCTGGGAGGCCACAGGCCTGCATCACAGCGGCTCCAAAGCTGGTTCTCTAGACTGTGGGCTACAAGAACAGATGCAGCCCCTCCTTACTCTCTTATGCAGGCATTCCATGTGTGTGCATTGATATAAGCAGTCCTTTCTTCAGAGCAATGGGGAGCCCACTTCTGCAATGTCTGAGGGCACCTGATGCAGTTGCATCACCTCCTCACCCCCAAGCACAGGTAACACAGGGTTTATGTGGTTTTGGAGGGTCTATTGTGAAATTCTCCCAGATGTGCACTATTTGACATTTTAAAGTTGTGGGGCCAAATTCAGCCCTAGTGTAAAAAGACACAGCTCTTCTCAAGTTAATGGAGTTGTGTCAGGGTGGAATTTCCACCTTTTGAGGAATTTCTGATCTAAAAGGCCTGTGAATCTTGAAGGGTTAGAACAGTGTGCTCATTTAGTACTCTCCAGTAACCAGTTTAATAGCAGTTCAGACTCCAAATATTATTAAAGCAACATTTGTCAAGGAGTCTAAGATATTCTATGAATGGTTAAAGAAATCTACTCTAGCCAGGCTATAAAATGCAGGGGACATACATCACACATCTGTGCAGATTGTCATTTCTGTGATCGGAGTGCAGCCAGTCTATCACAATATTGTAAAAATGCAGTTAGGTTTTAAAGCAACAATAACACAGTCCAGGTGTTTCAACTAATTAGGACATAATGCTCATGGAAAGAGTGAACGAGGCAACCAAAGATTCATATGGGTAATTAAATGCCAAAGCAAAATTGAGGCATTTGGTAACTACTGAAATAATTTATCCGAAAGCCCAGGCCTCTGTCTTCAGGAACATTATCCCTCTTACAAACCAAGGCAAAAGAATTCCACCCAGCACAGCAATAAAAAATAAATTTTTCCCTGTGCTATTTAGATAGTTCTGCGCTACTGCCTCCTCCAAGTTTCCATTGACGTCACTTTGACATCAGTGTCTCTATTTCATTTCCAGAGTTTAAATGATTTTACATCTTGGTCTTTGAAGCTGTGCATGGAGATTTTGAGTCATGCTGGTATAACTGTGCATGCTGCTTGGAAAATGATGAAAGCATTACCAAGTGGGTCACACTCTGATTTCACTTACTGTGGATTTAAACAGGTGTAATACCATTGGCTTCATTGGAATAGCTCTGGGTTTACACCAGTACCAGTATATGTCTACCCTGCTGTCGAAGATGTGATTGCAGCACATGTAGACAGGCACACACTAGCTTTAATCTGGCTAGTGAGAGTACCAATAACTGTGAAACCACAACAGCACGGGCTTCAGCGTATGCTATACAAGCCCACTTGAGACCCTAAGTACTTACTCACATGGCTAGGCTGCATTGGAGCTCATGCTGCCATGGCTTCACTGCATGCTATCAGTATGCACGCTAGCTAGATCAAAGCTAGCTCCGGTATGTCTGCGTGTGCTGCAATCAGACTTCCAATTGCAGTGTAGACAGACCCCAAGTGACAGCAGAATTTGTCTCTAGCTGTGAAATCAGTTGGTCTAGTGAAATCAGTTGGAACTGTGAAATCAGTTCCAGTTACTAGCAGAAGAGCCCACATCAAAGCCAAAACAGTGTTAGCACCTTTTTCAGCAGCCTTGGTCCAGAGATCAAGATTCAAAAGGAATGGACCCTAGTGTCTCATCTTTAGTGGTGTTTCCTCTAGGTCAACTCTGTAGCATATTGGCAGGGTCATATGATGTGAGGAAGCTTGCCTTGTAGCTAAACTTATGGGTCTTGCAATGTGCATATAGAGGTCATTTGTCTTTTGGGTTGTCACTTCATGAGCACTGCCTTCATGAATAGACTCAGGTTTTATTTATTTTAAGGTTCTGATTGTACTTGATTAGATACTTGAACAGGGTTCTGGGTTTTGGATGCACATATTTCCCACTTGAGTCAGTGGCAGCCATGTCCATGAATCCATGGGCAATGCTTGGTCTGATGTGAGTAGTGACTTTCTGGATCTTTATCATGACACTTTTGGGTGCCCATCTAAGCAGAAACATTTCTCCTGGTATAATAGACTTGAGGACAAATTCTGCACTCTATACTGGTGTAAATCCAACATGCCTCCATCGAAGTCAAAACACTGGTGTTCACAAGCAACATATAGTTTGATTTAGTGTTCTCCTGGCACCACTAACCTTACACAAAGTAACATTCAGGAGTCAAATTTGACTAAGCAATTGTATGGCCTTCCAGGTGTATTCCTTCAAAAAGTGTGTTCTCCTTATGTTGAGATTTTGGGACACAGGGGGCTGGAATTGAGAATAATTGGAAGCCAGGGGAGGTGGAAATGGCAAAGAAGAAAAAAATTGTTTTACAAATGAAAATAGAAATAGTGAAGAGGATTCTAGTCACCCCACAGCATATCTGTCTGCCTCATTCTACACTAGTAAAAGAGTGGAAAATAAATGATTTCCAGCAAATTATTGCTTTGACAGCTGCATGTGTCATTTACATTACACAACTCTCAGAATGATTGATTCAGATTGGATGGCTTTCAGCATCATCACTTAACTTATCAAGTGACACACTTCCATCATCCAAGTGTGCTGTGTAAATTGTTCAGATGTAATTATCTTCCAACATAAATACAGCATAGAGGCTTTTCTAGACTGAGTGCTATAATGTAAATCCCGCACACCCTCCCTTATGTCTGCAGCTATTAAAGTTTAAAGTAGAGGCAAAGGAAAATTAATTATTAATTTCTAAACCAGTAAATTCATCTCTGAGGGCAAAATTCTACCCTTCTTTCTAAGATGTATTTGGCTCTCACAGGCTGGCAGCATTTGCCTGAAGCACTCTAGATTGACAGCAAATGTTGATCCCACTGGACGATATCTCATTACCCATCTCATCAGATATAAGGGAGGGGCTTTCTAGAGAGGGAGGATCTGGGGTGTGGTCTGATGAGGAGCAGTAGGAGCAGCCATGCCTGGGCAGAATCCTGGTGGTGAAATCTGTTTTAATTTCTTTGTCAATAAAGCCAAACCTCAGGAAGCCAGTGGATTGTTAACTCTACACAGCATGTGGAGTTTGTTTTAGGGAAGACTTGAAAAGGCAGCTTCCTGTTCAGTCTCCCACTGCAGCCAATGAGTATTCCCTACTTGCACCTCCAAAGGCAGAATTTGGTCCTAGATTTTCTATGTATGACTGAAGTGGCCCATAGAGGGTTTGGGGCACATCTGAGAGAAACCAGTGGCAAACAGATGATGGTGAGATCCTGGTAGGAGGCGGGGCTGCCTGCCTGTGGGGTTGCAGGAGAGAAAAGGTTGGTTCAGGATTCTCACTCTTGCAAGCTGAATAGTTCCATGTATAAAGAAATAAACTAACTGATCTTCTTGGGAATCCGGCTGCAGCAGCCTTGCATCAGAACAAGACTTATCATGAACGCCATTATAAAAATGGACATATAGCACTTCTCTCTTTCCCTCAAGGATCTCAAAGTGCAGACAGATGGCAGTTATTGATTCCCATTTTACAGATACAGCATCTCTCTCTTTGTTGCTCTAAGTCACTGGCAGGCTGAACAATTGAACCCACTAGTCCTAACACCAAGTGTCCCCCATTCAGATGAAGAGAAAACAATTGCACTTTGTGGATTCTCTGTAACCTGAAGTCTTTAAATCAAGGTTTGAGGACTTCCGTAACTCACACAGGAGGTATGGGCCTATTACAGGAGCGGGTGGGTGAAGTTCTGTGGCCTGAGATGTGCAGGAGGTCAGACTAAATCAGAGGTGGGCAAACTATGGCCTGCGGGCCACATCCGGCCAACGGGACCCTCCTGCCTGGCCCCTGAGCTTCTGGCCTGGGGCACTAGCCCCCAGGCCCTCCCCTGCTGTTCCCCCTCCCCCGCAGCCTCTGCTCACTGCACCCCCTGCGCAATACTCTGGGTAGTGGGGTTGCAGAGCCACGGCCTGACCCGGTGCTCTGTGCTGCACGGTGGCGGGGCTGGCTCCAGCCGGCTGGTGCAGCTGCCTGTCCTGGTGCTCTGGGCAGCGCGGCTGTAGAGCCGCCAGCCACCGGTGCTCCGGGCAGTGCGGTAAGGGGGCAGGGAACAGGGGGGGTTGGATAGAGGGTAGGGGAGTTCAGGGTGGCGGATAGGGGTTAGGGTGGTCAGAGAGTAGGGAACAGGGGGGTTGAATGGGGGCAGGGGTCCCTGGGGGGCAGTCAGAAAGTAGAGGTGGGGTTGAATGGGGCGGTGGGGGGCAGTCAGGGGCAGGGGTTCCAGGAGCGGTCAGGGAGAAGGGGTGGTTGGATGGGGCAGGTGTCCTGGGGGGGCAGTCAGAGGCATGGGGTCCGGGGGCAGTCAGGGAACAGGGAATGGGGGTGGGGGTTGGATGGGGCAGGAGTCCTGGGGGGGGGCGTTAGGGGGAGAGAAGCAGGTGGGGGGTCAGATAGGCGGCAGGGGCTGGGCCATGCCTGGCTGTTTGGGGAGGCACAGCCTCCCCTAACCGGCCCTCCATACAATTTTGGAAACCCAATGTGGCCCTCAGGCCAAAAAGTTTGCCCACCCCTGGACTAAATGATCATGAAGGTCCCTTCTGGTCTATGAGACATGGTTTGTTATTCCATTTGGTTCCAGATCCTAGAAAAAGCACAGTGACTAACTCTCTGCCTGTGGTGATTGTTGAGCTGACTGTGCTCAGATTTTTAATTCCACTGCCATCTACTGATGATCTTTTTCTGTTTCTGTTTTGTTTTCAGATGAGGGCTCTGACAAGCACAAACATTGCAGTAAGTTTGGGTTTTTCCCCCCTTCTAATTAGATAGAAAATCAATTACAAATCAACAGTTAATGAAGTGAAATAATTAGAAAGTAAACATTATTCTAAGCCTCCTTTTCTCCTTGAGTCTCCTGCATCATTGTGCATAGTGCTGCATGTCAGGATATTCTGGTTCAATTCTTTCCTCTCAATTACAGAGAAGTTTGGGTATCTGTTTCCCTGGGTGGAAGGATGCTTCAGATAAGTACTTCTTCCACCAAATGCCTCTTCCCACCCACCCACCCACCCACCCACATGTATATCTTTCCAGCATCTTTCCTGGAGCTGCAGGGTAAGTGGTGAGATTCAGTTGACACTACGAGTTTAGTAAGAAAAAGTGGCATGCTGAGTAGTGAAATACAATTCTACAGATTCCTAATTGGATCGTATAGTTGATTGACTGACATACATGAATACACTTCGAAGGCTAAATTTTACCCTGAGAATAAAGAACAGGAGTACTTGTGGCACCTTACAGACTAACACATTTATTAGAGCATGAGCTTTCATGGGCTACAGCCCACTTCATCGGATGCACAGAATGGAACATATAGTAAGTGTGTATATATATATATATACATATATACACACATACAGAGAAGGTGGAAGTTGCCATACAAACGGTAAGAGGCTAATTAATTAAGATGAGCTATTATCAGCAGGAGAAAAAAACTTTTGTAGTGATAATCAAAATGGCCCATTTAGACAGTTGACAAGAAGGTGTGAGGATACTTAACATGGGGAAATAGATTCAATATGTGTAATGACCCAGCCACTCCCAGTCTCTATTCAAACCCAAGTTAATGGTAGCTAGTTTGTGTATTAATTCAAGCTCAGCAGTTTCTTGTTGGAGTCTGTTTTTAAAGCTTTTCTGCTGCAAAATTGCCACCCTGAAGTCTTTTACTGAGTGGCCAGAGAGGTTGAAGTGTTCTCCTACCGGTTTTTGGATGTTATGATTCCTGATGTCAGATTTGTGTCCATTTATTCTTTTGTGTAGAGACTGTCCGGTTTGGCCAATGTACATGGCAGAGGGGCATTGCTGGCACATGATGGCATATATCACAAAGCACTGCAGATCTTAGGAAAGCACATTACCTCAGAGGATTTGAGGACCAAAGTCTGTCATCAATCCTAACAGCTGATGTGACCCCTTGCTGCAATCAGTGAAGATATCCTGTCCCTCAGGGCCAGGGCAATTGTGCTGATGGATCCACCAAAGCGGGTGTTGCTTAAGAGGAAATAAAGATATTTTAGGCCACCCACCCAACTTCTCCAACTACCATCCACCTAAACTTATAACTGATGTTGCAAGGTCTAATTTGACCTTTGTAGTCACTGCAGGGATGTATTTTAAAATAGACACACATGACTGTGACGAGATAGCAGAAACACCCTACCATGCACAAGTAGGTGTGTATTATTTTGGTCAGGATATGGAAACCAGCTATGGCTTGTGTTCTCTGTTACTGTTTGAGCATTGGCACCTTCCTAACTTCATAGTTCTCTGTGTTAATATCCTTGTATCAGATCCCCTATAAAATTCTGCGGTTTTTATAGATGTTGTCAGAAGTGGTTAAAACAGTTTGTGACATGCATGTCAATGAGGTGGAAATCGCACCCGATGTCTGGCTGTGCTAACCCACAAGCTACTATTAAGGTGTCACAACCAAACAGGGGTTAAATGCTTTGCATAAATCCTATGCTTGTCTGACATGGGCCTCAAATTTCTGTAGTCCCCAGGGCTTTACTGAAGGATTCATCCTGTGAATGTAAATGTGATTTGAAGGAAGGTCCCACAGGAGGAAGGTGTTCTTTGACTCTTTTTAAATGTAACAATTCTGGGAAATATTGTTTAGGAAAGGGAATACTGCTGCACCATGGCACAGCTTCTTTGTTGTTGTTGTTTTCATTGCTTGTTTGGGTTTTTTGTGGGTTTGAGGTTTTTTTTAGTAGTGACCCTGATTTTCCTGAACAAACATAAATGAACTTTCAATATTTTAGAAACCTTTAGGATGATTTTGTTGCCTGCTGGTTGGAGAATATAATCAAAGAACCAATCGGGTATTTTGCAGTGATAATGAGTTACTTTGTCGTGTAGACCTGGCCTTAGTGTTAACCCTAAGATTCCTTTTGCCGGTAGAGTTTATGCCACTTGGGGAAGTGCTTTAACCTGTGTAAGCGTTGTCCCCACTAGGAGCCTTTGTCAGTATAGCTATGCTAGCAAAGTCTTTGTAGTGTAGATTAGTCCTAATCTTGGATCTCTGGGATTAGCTATTGGTCACTGACTGCCCTCATCTCCCATCCTAGGGACAAGAAGTTTTTATTTATTTGTGTCTGTATGTCGGACAGTCCTCCCCTCACTACTCAACTAGCCCTCCTCTTGCCCTTCTCCTGACCGACTGACGCACTGCAAATTGAAATCAAAATGGCCACTATTGGACTTCCTGTTCTGTGTTAAAAAAAGGTCAAATTGAGTTATTTTCAATAATGTTGAAACCAGTGTTTTGATATGTCCAGAATGAACTGTTGCTAAATAGTTCATTCGGCAAAAGACTTCAAGATTTTAACTTTTCGTCCTGAATCAGGATGAAAGAAAATTTCAAAATCCTGATATTTTTTCATGGGACAGAAACTCTATTTTCCAGCCAGCTCAAATATATGCTGTTATAAAGTTAGCCATTCTGGAACTACTTGGGAACCAAATATATGTCTTAAAAAATAAAGAGTGTATATTAAAATTGTAATTTTCGTTTCAGTAGACGGTATTTGAACTCTTAGTAAGATTCCAGGGACAGATCCTCAGCTGATATAAATCTATGCATCTCCAATAACTTTAGGAGTGCTGTGTTAAACTACATGAGCTGACGTCATAGCCCCAGCAGCTAAATTAGTGTTAGAATGAAGAGCTGTGAATAATGTGTTGCCGTATCTCCTGATTAATTTCTGAATAGCTGGACATCTTTGCCTTGCAGGACTTCTATTTCTGGTCCCAGATCTTCAGAAACAGCATGGTAGAATTAACAATCCGTTCTTCTCTGTCTGAAATTAAGACATTTTCATCTGATTTAATCTGGTCTGTGATGCCAGTTTTAGATCATCCATCAATCTGTATCTTTTATGAAAATGAAGTGATGCTGGATGCCAAGTTAAGTGAGAAAATCTCTCTGAACTCTCCATCTGCTGATAGATAATTCTCAGCAGCAGTGCTCTTGCCACTGTATTGCAGAATAACACCTTATGCTCCTTCCAGTCTAAATTCTCATAGCATTTTAAAAAACTGAGATTCATGAAACCATGATTGGAAAGGAATGGTCCCATTTAAAAGACAGGAAAGTCAAGGCACAGGAAGGGTGTGAGTTTGACCAATATAACACAGCAATTGTGTGACAGATCCAGGAATAAAAGCCAAGTCTCCTGGAATACTTGTACAATCTGAACTTTTCCAAATACCAGATTGTTAAGAAGAACATGAGTTGTCAGTAGATCCTTTCCTGTTTCCTTTATGGTTTTATGGACAAACAAACCTGATTTCATTCTCTGATGAGATTACAAGTTTGGTTGATAAAGATAACTACATCAATGTAATATATCTTGACTTGTATATGGCATTTGACTTAGTACTGCCCAACATGCTGGTTTAAACATTAGCACTGTACAACAGCAATAAAATGCATGTTAAATGGCTTAGGAACTGGTTAACTGATCAGTCTCAAAGTAGTTGTAAATCAGAATCATCAGTGAATAGGGGTGTTTCTAGTGGGATTCCACAGGAATCTGTACTAGGCCTGATGCTATTCAACTTTTTCATCAATAATCCTGAAGTAGATATAAATTCACTGGTGATAAAAGCTGTGGATGAAACAAAGATTGGTGGAGTGGTAAATAATGATGAGGACAGGGCACTCATACAGAGCGATCTGGGTTTCTTGATAAGCTGGGCCCATTCAAACAAAATGCATTTTAATACAGCCAAATGCAAAGTTATGCATCTAGTCCCAAGGAATGCAGATTACACAAACAGAATGAGGGACTGCATCTTGGAAAGCAGGTACTCTGAAAAGGATTTAGGGGTCATAGTGCACAAGCAATTGAACATGAGCTCCCAGTACGATGCTGTGGCAAAAAGGGTTAATGTAATCCTTAGATGTGTAAACATGGGGGTAGTGAGTAGGAGTAGGGAGATAAATTTATCTCTGTATACTGTGCTGGTAAGACCAGTACTAGAATACTGCATGCCGTTCTGGTATTCATATTTTTAAAAAGATATTGAAGAGGGTGCAGAAAAGAGCCACAAATTATTTGGGGACTAGAGAAAATGACTTATAGTTAAAGACCTAAAGAAATAATATGTTTAGCTTCCCAAAAAGAAGATTGAGAGGTGACTTGATTACCGTGTATAAGTACCAGCTTGGGAGAAAATGTGGTTACTAAAGGCCTCTAATCTAGAAGAGAAAGGCATAACAAGAAGAATGGCTGGAAGTTGAAGCCAGACAAATTGAAATTAGAAATAAGGCACAGATTTTTAACAGTGAAGCTGATGATGTGTTTCAATTTTTCAATAACAAATGACTTTGTTTCAAAATTTCCTTTAATTTTATTATTTTTAAATTTAAAAATGTTTTAAAATGGTTGAAATTGAATACACTTTGTTGAAACAAAACATCTAGTTTGAGCTGAAACAAAACTTGTTTTGATTCTTTGATGCATCCAAAATGTGAAAAGTTTTCAGTCTAACCCCAAACGATTTGTTCTGACTATTTTGAAATTGTCAACAAACTTCAATCTGTTATCACTGGGGAAGTAGTGGATTCTCCATCTCCTGATGTCTTCAAATCAAGACTGTATGCCCTTCTGGAAGATCTGCTTCAGTCAAACACAAGTTATTGGGCTCAATATGAGGTGACTGGATGAAATTATATTGCCTGTATTATACAGGAAGTCAGACTAGATGATCTGATGGTCCTGTCTGAC